CGCCTCAGTCGAGCCGGGGCCGGGACGCGCCGCGCCGCCTTCATCCCGCGTGGAAGCGGATTGTGGTGCGGCGGGTTAGTGCGGGGCCCGGGTGTTGTTTTTTTCGGAGAAGGACAGAAGCCAAAGCAGGTTCCTCCGCGCCAGGCGGGGGAGGGGGGTGATTGTCGGGTGGTTGTTGCCCGCGGGCGGGGAGCACCCAACACCCGCGTCTCGGGGCCAGGCAAGTCCCAGGGCGGCCCCACTGCATTTGGGTGGGGTTTTATACAGCTCGGGTTCAGATTTCTGTATTTTATTTATGTATTTTAAGGAAAATCCAAGCCAAATTAATTCCAAGCCCGTGAATCATTCAAGAGCCGTAAGTGGCCCTACCATCAAACATCCTCCACCCCCACCTGGGGCTTCAAGATGTTTCCAGATCATTTGGCAGACATCCTCTGTGCACTCCCAAGCCCAGAGGCTTGGGGTTCAGATGCCCTGGGTTTCGCTTGCCCTCAGCCTTGTGGCTGCAGAAGCAAGCTAGGGAGGAGTCTCCCAGTTCCATAAAGTGGGTGTAAAGCCAAGGCCTTCCCACTGGAAATGAAAATGGGAGGTTAACTATACATGACCTCAACCCAGGTACTAACCCATGCCAGCATTGTGGTTATCCCCTGTCCCTGGGAAAACCACCCTGATGATCATGGTATTTCCCCTGTATTCTCGCCCATTCCTCTGCAGTAAGGATGCAGGGAAATGAGTTTGTGGTCTGTGACCATTGTTCTTTCCCAAGGTTACCTTATCTGCATTGGGTGTCATAACTGGCCTATGCATCTCAACTCCTTTCAAACTGTCCCTCACAATCTGTTTCATATCTGGGAGGAGCGTAGTGACACACCCAGAACAGCAAAAAGGGGTGAGGGGTGTTCAGGACTCCCCAGCACCAGTTTGTCCTAGGGACTCAGAGTCTCCAGGGCTGTGTCTCGGTGCATGTGCCACATTAACTACATTGCAGCAGCTGTAAAACAGCAAAAAGAGCCCAGGCTTATGGCTGCATCCTGGACATGTAGTCTCAGCTATACCACCACACTGAGACACTGCAGTCCCCAACACAGTAGCTGCCAGGCCCCTGTTCCTGGGCAGCCTGCATTAGGGAAGGATACACTCATGGCATCCTCCCACTTAAGGCCTTGCATGGCCAAAACAGCCAGCAAGACATGTAGCTGGGGTTCCGCAATACAGCTATGCTGAACCCAAAAGAAGTGGCAACAGTAACCAAAACATGCCAGGCTCTCAGCCCCAGAGCATGCCAGCAAAACTGTCAAGCTCCAACCTTGGCCAGTTTGCTGCAGGGACTGATGCTTCCTTCCCCTGCCCCGCATTATCCTACTCAAAACACAGAAAACAAAAGGGGAAAAGGCGAGGGAGAGAACAGAGGTCTCAAACCCTGAGGCAGGCTTTCTCTCCCTGTACCTGAGGCTTTCCTTTCACATAGCTTCAGTCTGCTTCATCAGTGAAGAGTGGAGGGGGGGAGGGGGGGGGGACCCCCCCCCCCCCCCCACATACACACAGGAAACAGGCCCCTCTGGCTCCCAAATCAGCATTTAGGCTTCAGCAGCCCTAGGAGGAGGAAGAGAAAGAGCCCAGACCAGGTGGCCTCAACTTTAAATAACTTTTCTGATCTCATCGCAGGGCCCTGGTTAAAAAGCAGCCTCATCGCAACACTGCAAATGCAGACCAATCAAATCAAAGGGGAGGGGGAGGCAGCACTCCAGGATTTGGCTAGTCACTCAACTGGTTTTACAGGATCTGTTGAGGAATCTCAAGACAAAGGGTCTGGATGCAATAAGGGGGGATGGGAGGTGGGTCTCTCCAGGCCTAGAGGAAACAAAATACACATTAAAATAAAACCAGAATATACTTGACTACACATAGCCCCAAGTATATGTGGGTGTTACAGGTGCATCTCTGTACATTAACATCCCCCACAAGGATAGATTACAAGCCATAAGGAACATTGTCCCCAATGAGGATGCTGCTTCAAGCCTAGGATTCTGAAAAGGGGGGTGCATATGACAAAGTACTTCATTACATAAATCACAAAACATATTTTTCTCCAATTAAAGAGAAACTAGATGCTTTACTAATATGCTAGAGAGCTAGCACAACATTATTCCGTTTCAAATTAAAGCAAAAAAAATATTACTCTTGTAATATACACTAACTTGCTAGGTTTTAAATAAAGTTTATATGTTATGAGAGAGGTTTTGGAACTGGAAGGGCCCCTGAGAAGAAGAGTAATTTTCCCGTACTTATCCCAAGAGAGGGAAAGATTGTCACAGGAGCACGCAGCAGCACACCACATTTCTGGAGAGAGTACTCCCTTCAGATTGATGGGCGGCAAACCATGGCAGATACTTCTGGCCCCAGAGAAGGACAACCTGGGAGAGACTTCAGCATCAGAGAAAGACTCTCCTGTCAATGCCTGCCTGTGGTTTTCAGCAGCACCGTGGCACTGGAAAAAGGTACAGGTGGTCAGAGGACCACCGCTGATGGAAGTTCTGCTGTGGGAGCTCAAGGATCATGTTTGTGGAGCCAATCCAAAGCAGCCTGCATTAAGTAGGTACTGAGAGGGGAATGGGGAGGATCAAATGGGCTCATCCGTGTGCGAGGGTAGGATTGCTCCCTGGAGCCTGAAGGAACTGTTTCTTGCATTCTTCATTTTGTTTCATTTCCTGTTGTGGTTTTTTTGCTGGGACTGGAGTTAATTTTTCCGGCCACTACACAGGCCTGAACAGAGGTTTTGGACTTAAAAGGGCAGTGGCTTCTGCTGAGTACCAGTCCTTGGGATGGATTGTGAGCCACAGGTTTTGGTCTCTTTGACCCTGGGCTGAAGCAAAACAGTCCCTTTTCTGGAAAGGAGGGCTGCCCCTGGTGATCTGTTCTGGAATTAAGAAGCCATGGTGTGGTAAGGATGAGGCGGGAGCCCCATAGAAAGGCTTGGCAGTCCAAGGTGATCTCCCTGGGCAACAAACTCCCAAGCAACAGAAAAGGAACATCAAAGTCATAGCAGGGAAGAAGGCAACATCATAGAGTGGCTAAAGGAGGTAACAATAAGTGCTTCCTTAGCCTAAACACACATGGGGAAGATGTCAACATGCCAAGGACCTAGGCCTTACAGCACCTATTATTGACATCTTGGTGCATTGGCTAGGAAGCTCAACTTCAGCCTAATTTCAGAAGGGAAAATGGACGTACAGCCTGGTGTGATGGCAGAGGCAGAGGCATTACCGCAAACTCTGAGCCTAACGGCTCAGGTTCTACAGCAGCAGCAGCAGCAGGCAGCTTGACAGATAGCCCTGGATGAAAAAATTGCTTAGCAATGAATAGACCTAGTGGAATATGATTGACTTCAAAGTTCCAAAGATGACTCGAGAGGACGATGTAGAGGCTTTCTTGGAAGCTTCTGAGAGGGTAGCGGTAGCAGTGGGCCTAGAGAAAGTAAAATGGGCCAACAAGTTGGCAGTGCAAGGTGGGGCAGGCTCAGGCAGCAAGGTGGGGCAGGCTCTGGCAGCATATCAAGCGATGTCCAGGGTAGAGGCCCAAGGTTATGACAAAGAAAAAAGAGAGATTCTTTATTGGTTAGCCAGTACTTTGGAACAATATTGTCATTTATTCCAAATGAAGAAGAGGAGAGAGGACAAAATGCCAAGGGTCCTGCTGCAGAACCTGACAGACCTTTTGGACAAATGGCTGAAACCCATGTTGGCATCCAAGGGAGAGATCTGCCTGGAGCAATTTTTGGCTGACCTGGAGGAAACTACAAAGAGCTGGGTCCTGTGTCATCCACCAAAGACCTTGGCAGAGGCCCTACGCCTGGCCAAGCACTTTGACAGTGCCCAGGCTGACCCTTAGTGGGAAAGAAGCAATAAGATTGTGGGGCTACTTACCCTCAAGACTCTGGATAAAAAGATAGGGAAAG